GAACAAAGTCGTCAAGCAAATGTTATTGCAGCAGAAGGTGATGCTCGTGCAGCTGATTTGATTGGCAAAGCTTTAGATGAAGCTGGTGATGGTAAATTTTCGAATATCTTTTATTATCCTGTCTTACTTTGTTTTAATATTCATGTTAGATTTGATCGAACTTCGACGAATAGAAGCCGCTGAAGGTATTGCAAATCAATTATCAAAATCAAGAAATATCGTCCATTTACCACATGATCCTCAAATGTTACTTAACATTATTGGCGGTATGCAATAAAAATATTGTTTTTTCTGTTGTCATAGTAAACTAACGAGATTGATTTAGGAAAATAAAAAGAACATATAAGAGTTTTTTTTGTATGTATGTGTGTGTGTTTATATAATATTGAGAATACTAAAGCATTGTATTGTCCTGTTTTTTGTTCGATTAAAGAAAAAGAAGATCAGATCAGCAATTCTCTAGATGTTATTAAAGATTCGAATACGATTGAAATGATGAATTTCGACAATCTCTTTCGATGTTTTATATTAACTCAATCATCTGTACGTGGTTGGGGAAATCCATTTCATTTACAAGAAATTTTTACCTATCGACGTGAAAAAATTGGTGTAAGAGATGAGTGTTTAGAAATTGTACCATCTGAAAATGTACAGGAAAATACTATTGAAATAATTAAACAAGAAACAAAAAGGTAATCAAAATTATATAAATGCTCAATTTCGTTCACCACTTGCCAATTATTTACCACATTTGGTAAGTAATTAAAATTATTTTAATCATTTAATTAATATTATCTTTTTTCTTTTGTTATATTTATTTAAATAGGTTCCATCTCAAGTAGCTACAGCCCATTTTCAACTTGTTCTATCACGTGATCATCGTTTTGGTATTGATTCAATTTCAATAAGAATCTGTTATGCTGGAACAGGTGATCATGGTTTTAGTGGACGAAGGTTATTTACTGCAGTCCCATTAATTAATCAATATCCTATAGGTTCAATTCTTCTTGAAAATCCATATTATGGTTTAAGAAAACCATCAGATCAATCTCGTTCATCATTATTGTATGTTACCAATTTATATATCATGGGTGAAGTACTTGTTTTAGAAACACTTATGCTACTTCATTGGTGTCAAAAAATGAAATTAACATCAGCTATTCTACATGGTTTTTCTCTTGGTGGACATATGACTTCATTAGCGTTTACAAAGTAACATTCAATTCTATTATTTGATCTATTTAATGAATGGATATACAGTATCTATCATAATTTCAAATAATGATTCAAGTAGAGCAAACCATATTACAAAAAGAATATAAATTAAAAACATTGATTATTTAATTCCCAAAGTTAGGATTTTTTTAGACAACCCAAAAGCCTAATTTCTCAGTATCTAGTACTTGAACTCTCTAGGACAGTTTTTTATTGAGTAAAAGTTGAATAATTTTAGTAGTCATTGTGTATATATTTATATTTTAGATGGCCTGATCTACCTTCTCGACAATTCTATGAAAATAAAGCCTCTCAAACATTTTATGATTATTTACGTGAACGAAATCGATCAATAGATTCAAATAAAATTGTTCTCAATCTTATTAAAGATATGATGCGTCTTCTTATGGATGAATTTACATCTTTATGTAATTATTCACGCTCAGTTCAATCAAATATATCTAATGCTATATTTATTGCTTGTACACATGATGGTTATGCATTACGTGATGGTATTCCACATATGAATGATGTATGGCCTGGTATTCATATTCGATATATTCCTCATGGACATGTTAATGCATTTTTATTTAATCAATTAGGTTTTCATCATACTGCTGCTAAAATGTTACAACGACAAGAACCAAATGTAAAACTAAAAAAACATCTAATCATATCACCAATTTTTGTTACTACACCTAAAAATTCGTGAAGATATATATTTTTTTCATATAGATATTTTCTCGAAAAGTATCAAACATTTCCTAATTTTTGTGTTATGATTTGAATAATACCTCAGAGAAAAGAAAACTTTTGATCAAATATAAACTAGATAATATATTAATCGTTTTGTTTTTTAAATATCATTTGTATGACTCTAGTAAAGACATGAGCAAACATTTTTTTTTGGTTCTATTTATCAGCAAATAGATATTGAGAGAACTTCTCCAACTGATATCCTCTGTTCGAGCTCATAAGTAGGACTCATAGTCATGATGAAAATATTAAACATGTTCGTGCTCTTAAGCCTTTCATGATTGTTCTATTAAATTTCCAGCATATTGCAGGATATTAGCAAAAAAACTGCAATAACGAGTCTCTATTTGGAACTTTCTTCAATAACAGATCTCATAACAATTATTACATTCTAAAAGTTTTAGCTCAAACGAATGGATCAAAGTCAATCAATCAGACAGTGAGATCAATCACAGATTCTTGCACGTTCATACAAGATCGTACAATTTGATTTCACTATATTGTTTGAATCCTTTACAATAACCCATACAGGTTAGAGTTCTCTTCTTTATAAATTACCATACCATCCATATGCATACATAGCCAACATTTAAATTTCTGGTAGTATAACTGGATACAGATTTATCTATATACCTTTACTCAGAATTGGAACTGGTCTTTATCAGTTCTCTTTCTTTTCGCAGATATGAACGAGAGGGAAAAGAACAGCGTGTGCATTTATATGATCATATCCTTAATATCAAATAAAACTTAGTTATTAATTGAAAAAGAAAATGCATAATACAAAATAGTTTGTGTTAACAACAGAAGAATTATTTGAATTTTGTATTATTGAAATAACTTTATAAAAAAAAAGAACTATTCTTTTGCTTTATTCGTATCTGAACATTTCAGATATTCACTCCAGAATATTGTGTAGTGAATATGAAGACACAATATATAAATTTTATTTTGTATTTTCATATAATTTTGAAATCATTCATAGACGATCAATGAAGAAATGTATTTCTGTATAAAATATACTCTATTGGTATTTAATGTTGAGAAGAAACTAAAAATAAACAGAGCGAAAAAGAAAATATTAGTTTTTTTACGATTGCATTTTAATGTTGATTATTTCAAATAATGAAGATAGATATTTTTTAGTTGTACTTCAGAGTTTACATTCTTGTTGAGATATAAATAGCCAGTATTGACATAATCTGTAGCTAAAAGACAATAAACTTCTCTATCATTGAATCTCTGTTTATTTGCTTGATATCACAAACAGATTGACGAAAAAAAACAGGTTTTATCAAGTCTAAAATGCTGATATTATACACTGAGGATGTGGGTGTGCAAGCATATAATACCTACACCCACACCCACACCCCATCTCTACTTTTATATGTCATCATCTCTTTGAATGATAATTGTTTTTCCTAATAAAGATTTATACTTGCTTAACACTATTCAACTTCATGATGAATTCCAAAAAAAACCATGTCGTTGATGAGAATATTTATGACCGTTTTAAATAAGCAGTGTAGTTAAATTTCGTCAATAAGATTCAATAATAAAAATGATGAATACGATTAATTGAAGCTACTTTCCGTATATTCCTTTTATCAGAAACTCTATACTACATAAAATTATAGACTAAACTATGCGTATAACGATGATTTCTTGCCGAAGTAGATGATCTAGTATTGCCATTTGTTGACAACAAATGTCAGTGGTACTTCAAATTATATTAATTAACATATAAATCAATTTAATAAAGATATAATAAAATTAGGTAGTTTGACTTTATTTGAATAACCAGAGGTCTCTCGAGCGGGGAGGTCGACAGGGTGACTTCCCTTCAATCTTAAAAAAGTTTTCATTTTTTTCCAAAGAGATTCCAGCGTTGTATGTAGACGGTGGATTCAAGAGGCTTAGGTAGGAGAGCGCCAGGACAGATAATGGCTTGAGCAAGCTCAAATCCATCTTATATTGGACAGATAATGGATTAGATAGGTTCTATTTAATATAAACATTTTCTATTACGATTTAGTTTTCATTTTCTTCTGACAGATAACGCGTTGTTACAAGGTTAGTACACATTTCATCTACTACCAATTCATGTCCAATAAGCACAGGCGGCACAGTCACAAGGCTTGAATAGGCTCAAACACTTTTCTCCTTCTAACGAATTGATCGGATTGAGCAGCGCATCATATTTTTCGTATAAATGTCAATATTTTTCATCGCCTCCGACAGCTAATAATAACATTTTCTTAATCAAGCAGGTTTAGAAAATGTTTTTCAGAAAGCATTGAAAGTTTTGTACAAATGCTGGATCATACATCGGCAATGACTTGAAGTGGGAATCCTCCATTACAAGTGAAGAAGAACTGTACAAAAAATCTGAATCAGATTAAATAGACTGTGTCTAGACTTTTATTCGCATTCAGTGACTAAGATTACATGCTTATTAAATATTTCTGCCTCACCGCATTTAGCTTTTCTCCAGTAAAGCAGATCAGAATGTCTTCTTTCGAAGGTCGTATTTCGATGAACATAAACATTCGCATGTTTCTTCAGATCCACGGGGTTTTTTGTATTTCATCTAAGTGGCTTTCAAAAACTGATTGTCTCTCGTGTTTACCTTCCAGATGAGGATCTGATAAAAAAATGCTGAGCCTACTCTAGAATCAAAACATTTTATTGCCTATGGAAGATATAAATCGACGATTTTATTAGTGAAAGCAAAATTTTCTTTGATTTTTATTTCACAGATATTAATAATATCACGCCATCTATCGTGCAATCATTATAGCTGAAAATCTGGATAAAACTAGTGACATCTATTCAAGTAAGAATTTCAATTTTTATAAACATTAAAAATAATATTTAATCATCAGTAATTCATATTTTATTTTTTTTAAATAAGAAAATTAAACTATCATCAATTGTTATCCGCCCTATCAACGAATCATATTCGATGCTCTTAAAAAAAACGACAAAGCAAAAAAGAAATTTATTTCTTCATTTAATACCTCAAGTTAATTGATCTATCAATTAAAAAATAAAAAAAAAGAAGAATGTGTGATTTTCTAGTACATCGTACACATTTATATAAACCACGTCTTTCATCAATATTAAGTTTAGCTCATAATCATCATCAAAATTCGTCATCAAATCATTTATTAGCTGTACTTCGTTCTGATCATTCAATTGAATTATGGAATACTCATGATTCATTTACACTTGAACGTACAATTCAACCACGTAATGCATCACATTCACCTGAACTTGTTCTATGGCTTGAAAAATATTTAATAACAGCTGGTCTTGATGGACAATTAATAGTTTATGACCCAATAACATTTGAAATTTTAACATCATGTCATGCAGCTGGTGGTGCTATATGGAGTATAACTAAACATGAAACAACTCGACGAATTGCTGTTGGTACTGAAACTGGACATGTAAACATTTATCAACTTGATGAAGTAAACAAAAAAAAGACCAAAAAAATTTCTTTGAAATATTTAAAAGACATCTTTTTATTTTAAAGGATGCTAGTCAATTTTCTTTAGCTACATCTGTATGTAAACAAGCTGCACGTATTGTATCATTAGCATGGCATACAACAGATGATGATTTTCTTGTTGCTGGAAGTATTAATCGAATATACATATGTTCAACAAAACAAAATCGTGCTATTCAACAAATTAATGTTGGAAAATTATCTTCAACATCAAATAGACGTGGACAAAAAGATACAATTATTTGGTGTTTAGCTGTAACTGATGATTATACTGTTTTTAGTGGAGATTCATCAGGTCGAACATGTGTATGGGATGCTGTTTATGGTACATTAATTCGGTAATAATTTCATGATAGTTTAAAGAATATGATAGTAATCGAGTATAGTAAAAAAAAATTACAGTGCGGGCCAATTGAATTTTCGTCCTTTACTTTTCTTTCGTTTTTGTTGCTTTAATCCATTTATTTTTTTTAACATACTCTATATATAGGAAGAAAGTACAGAACAAGCTGCATCTTATGGTATATTCAGCTTGAACAACAAATAAAGCTTAATAGATGTTGATTTCGAATTTATTGTTTGAATAAATGCCAAAGTGGATTATCCAATGGTGATAAATACTTTGCAGATGTTGTTGACATACAAAGAATTTTCACAATCGATTTACATTTATCAGCTCGTAAAGCTTGCAACATATCTCTTGACACAAACCAAAGAGATATTGTCGATACACTTTGGTGGGTTGATTTTTCGTTCGATTGTAATCTGTATATGTATATATACATATATGAGAAGCAAATGGGTATCGTTAGATAATCGAACATGAAAAAAGAAAAACGAACAAACTATAGTGTCGTCATTCTCACGTGCAAATCGATATGATACATAACGTAATATGATTTGATTTTCAACTGTGTAGCTTCAAATGTTTCATCAGTAAAAAATTCTTATCTTTTGCCTATTAATTCAAATATATTTATAGACAGAATGCTACATAAACATATAGTGTGGACTATCAGAACTCATCGAATCTACGTGTGTTAACATAAAAACACTAAGCAAACAAAATTCACTTAACTCCTCACGCTATATATTATAGAAAAAAAAACAACACTATTTTTTTTCTAATTAACGTTTTATCTTTTAAATTTTATTTGTTGTTCAAGCTGAATATACCATAAGATGCAGTTCGTTCTGTACTTTCTTCCTATATATAGTATGTTTAAAAATAAAGGAGGAAAAATTTCATTGTCTCGTATTGTATTATGTAGCTTTTGATTTTCTACAAAATGGTAAAAAAATATCTGAAAAAAAAATTTATTCTTCAAAGTGAAACAGGGTCTACATGTTTCTCCTAGATATTTATTTACCATTTTGCAGAGAATCAAAAACTACATAATATATATATAAAATCTACCTTCGGTTCATTTTATTTCGAAAATTGCCAGCCGATATACTATCAAAAATCGACCATTTTAAACTTGTAAATTGTGATATTTCTCATTCATGTTGGACTACAAAAATCTAGTGAACAGATTATAGGGAATAATTTAATTAGCTATTCTTTTTTCAGCAATCAATCTTCTATCTTTTAGTTTATTGCACAAAACAAATATTTCATTGGTTAAGCCATAATCCTAATAAATACTTATCGAATGCTTTTTGATAATAACTTGACAGTGCTCAGAAGTCTATATTGGCTAACTCTTTACTATAGTACATTCAGATGAGCTAAAAATTTGGGTTTGATGGTTTTCGATTATGCCCTTTCGAATGCACATAAACAAAATCAAAAATCTAAATTTTGACTAGTACCTTGATTCCCGCATGGACGCTCTCTTAGACATACAAACACTCTAAACTTATATTTACCATTCAAAAAAATGATTTTTTTAAAAATCGAAATATTCGATCTCATAAGTTGATATCTCTTAGATCATTTCAAACACATCGTGCTGATGTTCTTTGTATGACATTATCATCTGATGAACAAACATTATTTTGTTCGGGTGTTGATTCAGTTATTGTTCGTATTGAACTTGTATCACCAAAATCATCATCATCATCAACAACAACAGCAGCAGCAGCAAATGATTCAACAAAACAATGGATTAAAACAATATCAATTCATTCTCATACACATGATGTTCGTTCATTAACATTAATTCCATCACGTTTTGCAACAATACGTAAAAAAGAAAATAATTTAAGTAATAAATTAATGTTAATATCCGGTGGACTTGATGCACGTTTACTTGTTCATGATATAATTCGTGATAATTCTAAACCACCTATTTTATGGCGAAAATGTTTTAATTTTACTCAACATCAAAATAAAATTCATCAAAAAGGAAATTATTTTCTATTTACATATCGAGATTATATTGAATTATGGTCATTAGGAAAAGAAGGTGGTATAAATGAATATGGTGAAGATATACTTGAACGTGCACCAAAAAATCTTGTTCAAATTAAAACAAAACATCAAGCTAGAATTGATACTGTTGCTATGAGAATTAAGAAAATCAAAGATGAAGAACAAATTATTATTGCTATGGGAGATACTATTGGTTTACATGTTTATGTTATTCAAGGTAATAGAATTTTATCAAAAAAAAAAAGAAACTCCTCATGGATTTTCTTTTGTCAAATTTAAATTATGTTTTTCGAAGAAAAATTTAGTGAATGTAAATTTTAAGTCAAGGTTTTTGGGGTTCTCCACTCTCATAGCAATAGAGGAGGAAGCGAGAATGCTAACGGTCATTGAGTAACTTGCATAACAAGAATGTGATATAGTTGTTTATTTTTATTGCAAATAAAAATTGATGTAAAGGATAATGGGTAGTGACACATTGTTTTACCACAGTCGCTATATGATCTTCTTAAAAGAGCCTTAGGTAGTTGCAGATTCAGGTCCGTGAAACCGCAGTTCCCTAAATACTTTACGTATATTTTTAGACCAGTGCAAAACTGCACATAAGATCAGTGCCACCAGTCAAACCGTGCGTTGATACTCTAACGAAAATTTTCTAATCGGGATTGGATAGCCGTCCCGAAGATACGAGATATTTTTGTTCCGTTTTTTTTGTATTCGACGACTGAAGCTCGAAGGCCTCTAACACTGGCAATACGATGTGTCGATAAATGATGCACCGTCACCGTTGTATATCTCTAGTTAAATCAATGTCTAGAATAATAATGTTAAATAAAGAAAAATGGAATATGAAAATGAAAAACTAACTGTTTGACAAACGTTTTTGTTATTTTAGGTCTTGATCCTCAATCTCAATTGAGTGTAACACCAATAAAAACATATACTAATGAACAAGATGTTGAACAAACATTTTCTTCAATAACAAATATAATTCAATTACATTTTAATTCATCAACATTATTTGCTTTAACATCTCGTAGTCAATTATATTGTTTTTCATTATCATCATATAAACTTAATCATATTATATCATGTTTACCATCAACACTTCGTTTTGAAGTTTCATCAAAATATATCGCTACAGCAGATCGTTATGGACATGTAACAATTTATTTAAATTCAACATATAATATTTTAACACAATTACCACAACAAACATATCAATGTACAGCTATGTCATTTTGTAATGATCGTCTTGCATGTGCATATGCAAATCGTTCATTAATTGAATATGATATTCAACAAAATGAATATTCTGATTGGACAAGAAAATATTTAGTACGTATGCCATTACAATGGTTTTCAGAACGAAGTCCAATTATAAATTTATTTTATGATACAAAAGATAAATTATTTGTTATTGATTCAACATATTTAAGTATAATTGAACGTGGTAAAAAAATGCCTGGAACATATACAAAAATATTTAATAATACAAATCAAATAAATTCACCAATACATGTTTGTAAACAATTTAAATATCTTTTACATGTTACACTTTTATCATCAACACAATTATTTATTGTTGAATTATTACCATCGATTGTTGAGCAGTGCTTACCACCAGCATTAAAACGAAAACGTTTTGGTACTTAATTAATAAAGCAAACATGTCTTTTCATGATCATTTTTTTTTTGTTTTGTTATTGTTTTTTTTTCTTCTTCTTCTAAAATACCTTGAGGTATCAGTTTTGTTTTTTTTTTAGATTTAAAAATAAAATTATGGGTGGTGTTACACAAAAAATGACTGATACAGTCAAACATATATCAGAACCATCAGGTCCACAGGCTGTTGCAGTACTTTCTGATCCAAATAGTGGACAAATTTATGGTCATGTTAATTTTGTCGAAGCAAGTGATGGTACAGTAACTGTTAGTGGTGAAATTAAAAATGTACCAAATGCACAAAAACGTGGTTTTCATATACATGAATTTGGTGATACTACAAATGGATGTACTTCAGCTGGTAATAAATGAAATTAAAAATATTATTCATAGAAAAAAACGAAATTCTCAATGGATTGTTTTATTATTATAGTTGTTATAAATTAATGTATTGAGAAATTTAATTTCACGCATAAAAAAATTCGAATTAAAGGATTCTATCGGGTTTGACAGAGTCATCCTTAAATTGAAAAGTCTCCTACATCATTTTGTAAAGCAGCTTGTAATGTATCTATTGGTATGTAGGAAATCGTATTTACACCAACTTTTGCGTATCCACAAATCAACTCATGCAAAGTTCTTTGTAAAGGTTATTTCTATAGAGGCTTGATTGCTGTTGAATCTTGCGTATTTGATAACTTGCTTCATTGCTTTATTCGTATCCAACACAGACTACTTTAGTCATCTTCTCTGAAATTTCGGTTTTGGAATGCTGCAGTATATACGATGTTGTGGCTTAGAACAGGACGGCACAAACGTGTAACTTTTCCGATAGCTGCGCATCATCTAGTTCTATAACTTTTGAATTCTACTGGTCTTTGAATTGAAGGATCCATGGTGAAACTGTTACATCACTGTACAAAACGAGGCCTATTTTTCGGTTGCTAGCAATATAACGGGATTCCCAATTTTCCGCTATTTATTATATCATTAAGTAAGAATCAGTACAGAGTTCTCTATTGATTGGCATAAATTAGTC